CCCAGATCCTCCGCTCGTTCCACCGCATCCAAAACCTCTTGATCGAGCTCCCGTCGGAGCTGCATAGATCAGAGACAAAGGCATTTGGAGAGAGTGAGAGTTAATCAATAAACCCTGAAAATTTAAATAGTTACCTGAAATTATTGACAGCTCAAGCGCGGGATTGTAGGAAAGAGAGAAGGGCATGGACGGAGGCTTTTGGCGTAGCTGGTGATGCTTTGTGGACGGCGGCTTGTGGCGCAAATGGTTTACGGCGGGTGAGCTGGGTATATGCATGGTTTTGCTTTGTGAAGGTTTAGGGTAGGTAAGATGGGAGAAAGAGAGAGAATGAGAGACTGTGGGAGAGAGAGATCGAGAAGAAGGAGATCGATAGGGAAGAGATCGAGAGAGAGGAGATCGAGAGGGATGAGATCGAGAGAGATCGAGAAAGCGGAGAGATCGAAGGAGGAGACAATAAAGAGTGAGGGTCGAATTAGGTCTGAGAATAAAAGAGACGGTAATAGACAATAGAGGGTAATCACAGTAGGCCATGAACGGTCCAGGCCAGGGGCCCGTTTTCTCCAATCTTTAAAATCGGCCTGCCCCGTTATTTATCTAGAACCGGCCCGCCCTGCCCCGTTTTATATTTGTAATTCTTGAACTCACCCCGTACCCATCCCGAACCGCAAAGACCCGTCCCTACCCGCGGGTCCAGGACCCGTTTGCCCACCCCTAGTTCGGGCATCCTTTCTTCTTTTTTTCTTTTTTGGAAAGACGAGTTTTTTCCATTTTTATACACACTCGACCTAAGTTTTGATTATGATTTAATGTTCGGTTTAATCTCTGTTCTACAGTTTGATAAGCTGATTGGGATGATGGACACTGGGAGCAAACTGCCTAAACGACGAAAGGTATCTTCAATAAGATCTCTTGGCTAATTTCGATTAGTTTATCTTCTAAATCTTAATTATGTGCATGCTAATATGCAATGCAATTAAGTTCTTGTTCTTCTTTGGTTTCATGCATGACAGAATTCTACAACTGCTCCTGCACCAGCAAGTCAACAGGAGGACAATGAAGTGTTAGTGCAGACAATAACAAGATTTCTCCATGACCTAAGAACTAACCCTGCAGAACCCGAGAGCTCCACAATCCCCAGAAAACAAGAATAGCTCTCTTCATCTAAGGAAAGATTGCAGCAGAATAGCAGAGAAGCAATTGTCTTAAGTAGTAATTGTATTTAGCGATAATAAGTGGCTAATCACTCCTGTGTGAATGCTTGACTGTCTAGTACAGCATAGTAAACAAGTAAAAGCCACACATTTCTTGGAAGTGCATCAGATAGACAAAACTCTTTATCCAGTTTTTATTTTAGGCTAAATAGCCAAAATGGTCCATGGGTTTGCATAATCAATAGAAATGGTCCCTAAGAGCTGAGATTGAAAATCAATAGAAATGGTTCATGGGATTATCTATCATCCATGATTTTGGTCATTCAGTTAAAAACTCTTCGGGCAATTTTCAAAGCTTCGTAACTTAATCGATTCTTAACCAAATTCGACCCATAATATATCAAAATGAAAATAGGAAAGTGTAGAACAAGATTATATCATTTGGAAGCCCAATGGTTGACGGAAATGGCCGGAAAATAACCTGAAAGGTGACTAGTCCACAGGAAAACTGAAAAACTCGCTAGAAACTGGGTAAACTTTAAACGTTCATAACTTCTTCAATACTCAACAAAATCGAGTGATTCAAAAACAAAAATCATACTTCTCAATGTGAAAAATAGAATGGTATCTTTATTGAATGCTAAAGAGTCACGGTTTGCCTGGAAAACGGCTCGAAAGTGGCTAACTCGAAAATAGTTAGCCAATTTTGAGCCTTTTTCCGGCCAAACCACGATGATTTAGCCATCGATAAAGGTACCATTCTCTTCATCTCATCTAGAAGTATGATTTTCATTTTTGAATCACTTGGTTTCGTTGCGTATTGAAGAAGTTATGAATGTTTAAAGTTTACCCAGTTTCCGGCGAGTTTTCCAGTTTTCCCGCAGACCAGTCACCTTTCAGGCTATTTTCCGGCCATCTCTGGCAACCATTGGGCTTCCAAATAGTTATAATCTTTTTCTACACTTTTTTATCTTCATTTTGATATATTATGGGTCGAATTTGGTTAAGAAACGATTGAGTTACGAAACTTTGAAAATTGCCCAAGGAGTTTTTAATGGAATGACCAAAATCATGGATGGTGGACAATCTCAGATACCATTTCTATTGATTTTCAATCTCAGTGACCATTTCTATTGATTACGCAAATCTCATGGACCATTTTGGCTATTTAGCCTTTAGTTTATAAAAAATCTTTAACAAAAAAACAAATAGACAAGATTACCATTAGTATTTAACAATAATAGATCTTTGAAATAAAGCCATAATGAAGTTATGAACAGACACCCGAACATCCAGAATTTCACATCTTTCAAATAAATGAATTACACGCTTTGAAAAATCGTGGAGATCTATTACAACAAGGAGTTTTACAAGGCAAAGAAAATGGTACATTCAAGGTTGAACAATTTACATTGGCTCCCGATCATGAAGATAAGTAAGGTGCAAAACAGAAAAAATCATTGTATATTTAGTAGAAGAAAAGCAGTCATTACCTGAATACCTCAGTTTCCCGGAAAGCAGCATGAATTAAGAACTGTAAGGGGGCACATGCATCACGTTAAGTCTTTGATGGTTTAAGTAATCAATGAAGCTAAAAACTTTCAAACTGGAGTGCTTATGGGGTGTGTTTCGCGGTTGAGAGCATATGGATTGGAAAAAATGAAAAATGCAGTGAATTTGGTTATGCTGAATCTTTTGACCCTTGATGATATAATAACCTATTGAACGCTGCACTTCAGCTTCTCAGCCTCAAGCTCCTGTTTCAAGGAAAATATTTTCAACACTGGTAAGAAAAGGAAGGATTGAAATCTAAACCCGCTTCAACAGGAATATAGGGAAATAGAGTGATATTAGCACCCATACTTACTTAGTCATTAACCTAAAAAATGCTTCCATAAAGCTTGGGAAATTGGTTTCAGCATGGAATTCATGAACTAGGACTATCTTATCCTTTTGAAACAAAAGCTGCTGACTGTATTTTGCCAATTGACTTGTCTTCTTTCACACCTACTGCATTTCAACCCTCAAATTCATGAAAATAAATAAATAAATAAAACCCCTTTTCCTTTGTCATTTTTCAACACTATGGATAGATGCTTTAAGTGATTACATAATTATCCGCATCAAAATTCTCATAAACTAGTTCTAAAAAAAAACTTTAACAGAATGGGAATATACGTTATTTGTGAGAAGGAGCAGAGGAAATGACAAAAGGAGGTATATATGCATCTAGGTGATATAACCCTTCATGTTACTTTTTTTAAGTGCCTAACTAAAATAACTTACCCTTAGCGCGGATATACACCTCTTTCATTTCCTCGGCTCTTTCTCACAAATAATGTATATCTCCATTGAATGAAAGTTTCTTCAGAACTAATTTAGTGAGAGTTTTGATGCAAATAATCATGTAATCAATTGAAACATCTATGATTGGTGCTGAAAAATGACAAATTGGTGGTTGGTCTTTGTTCATGGAACCGAGGGTTGAAAAGCAACATGTGTGAAAGAAGACAAGTTGATTGGCAAAATACGGTTAACTTTTCTTTCAAAAGGATAAAATAATAACAATTCAGGAATTTCACGTTGAAACCAATTTTCCATCGTTTATGAAAGCATTTTTTAGGTTAAGGACCAAATAATTATGCTTCCATCTCCTAGATTATTCTTAAAAATAGTACATTATGGCCATACAAATATATTAGATTTTGACATCATATGTTCAGGTGTGCAAATGAGAAAATCTCGTGGGCGACGGTTGATGAATAAGAACAACATACGTCAAGTTGTCCAAGAAATATAATTATAATAGGTAACAGAGTGCATTTTTCTAAGAAGATGTATATCTTTTCTTTTTGGTAAGTGTTTAACTCTTGCATTAGCCTATATCTCAATTTCCATGTCGATTAGCACGAGATATGTGTTCGAAGGTGTAAGAGAGAAGAAACAGCGAGCCAGTTAACAATATCTCCTCCCTTTTTACGAGTGGCGATGTAGAACAACAGTCATGACGGTTGGTAACGGCGGTGTAAGGCTTAAGAAACCATGACTAACTTGCTCTTTGAGCACCTTGACCATTACTATATAAAGGTTTCAACCCTTGCTGTTTTCTTGAACAATTTGTCCCACAGAGAGAAGGGTATATCAGTGTGCAAGGACTTAAAAAAATAGTAAAACAGGTAATATGCAATGTATCTTAAATCCTTAATCTAAATTCAACCTTGTTTGTAAATCAGATAATTACCGCTTCAAGCATCCTTCTTTTTTTCTTCTTTGGAAAGATGGGTTTGTTCCATTTTCATACATACTAGACCGAAGTTTTGATTACGATTAACCTTCTGTTTAATCTCTGTTCTTCAGTTTGATGAGCTGATTGAGATGATGGACACCAAGAGCAAACTGGCTAAGCGACGAAAGGTATCTTCCATAAGATCTCTTGGCTAATTTCGATTAGTTTATCTTCTAAATCTTACTTATGAGCATGCTAATATGCAATGTGAACAAGTTATTGTTCTTCTTTGGTTTCATGCATGACAAAATTCTACAACTGCTCCTGCCCCAGCAAGTCAACAGGAGGACAATGAAGTGTTAGTGCAGACAATAACAAGATTTCTCCATGACCTGAGAACCAACCCTGCACAACCCCCGGAGATCGAGAATAGCTCTCTTCATGTAGGGAAAGATTGCAGCAGACTAGCAGAGAAGCAATTATCTTAAGTAGTAATTGTATTTAGTGGTAATAAGTGACTAATTACTCCTGTGTGAATGTCTACTACAGCAAGGTAAAACTCTTTATCCAGTTTTTCATTTACTTATAAATGTCTTTAACAAAAACAAAAAACAAAAAACAAATGGGAAAATTACCATTAGTATATAACAATAATAGACCTTTGAAATAAAGCCATACGAAGTTACGAACAGACACCCGGACATCCAAAATTTCACATATTTCAATTACAACAGGGAATTTTACAAGGAATAGAAAATGGTACTTTCAAGGTTGAACAATTTACATTGGCTCCCGATCATGAAGATAAGTAAGATGCAAAACAGAAAAAATTGTTGTATATTCAGTAGAAGAAAAGCAGTCATTACCCGAATACCTCAGTTTCCCGGAAAGCAGCATGAATTAAGAACTGTAAGGGGGCACATGCATCTCGTCCAAAACTTTCTTTGATGGTTTAAGTAACCAATGAAGCTAAAAACTTTCAAACTGGAGTGCTTATGGGGTGTGTTTCGTGGTTGAGAGCATATGGATTGGACAAAATGAAAAATGCGGTGAATTTGGTTATGCTGTATCTTTTGACCCCTGATGATATACTAACCTATTGAACGCTGCACTTCAGCTTCTCAGCCTCAAGCTCTTGTTTCAAGGCTTCCATCCGTTTTACTAAGGCCATACTTTCCTGGAAAATATTTTCAAGACTTGTAAGAAAAGGAAGGATTCAAACCTAAGGGAATTTTCAAACACACTACACTAGCACATCATTGTCTATCAGAACCAATAAGGGAGAGGAGAGAGAATTTTGACGTAACATCAAAATCTGCAGTTTGTACACATTATTTGGGTGCATAACATAAGTTGGTTTCTAACAAAAGGTAATTAATAATACGAGCAAGCCATCCTCAGCATGATCTCTAATGACCTCTTTAATCAGATTTACTAAAGGGTGCATAAAAGCGAATAATATTGAAAGAAGATAAACGTTTATGAGGAAAAAGAACGAAGTTATGAGACATTACAAGAACTTGTGTATTAAGTCTTTTACTGAAAAGAAAGGGGTCACCTTTTGTAGATTCAACAATTTCTGGTTGACGGTAGCAGCATTTCCATCACCCTCCCCAAACAACGCCTTTATCTGTAAGGAAGACAAACGATTAATCGATCTGCAGTGCAGTGCAGAGAGATGATCATGTGGTTAGACTGATCCATTCTTTAACAAGTCATTTAACTCAAGGATGCCCTTCCAAAGATTGAACCCAAACCCACGTTGACAGGACTTTAGGGAAATAGAGTGATAGCACCCATACTTTAGTTTTTCCAAAGTGGTTTTAATAATTTTCGATGCAGAGATCACTTTCAAAGACTAATCTTGCTTTGACAATCCTTACTATTTTAAGCATGCAATGACACTCTCCAAAATTCATACGAAAACTCTAGTTGTTGAACAAGTTGTGCAAATAAATTTAAAAGAAAGGAAGAATACGGTGTGAACCTGTTTGAGTTGATTCATACACTTGGTAGCCTTCTCGGCTTCTTCATCGTATTTCAGCCTCCACTCAGCAGATTCATCCATTGCTTCCCTATTCGCAAGGTCGAACTGCCGCCTACAAGATTTCGATAGAACAAACATTTCATTCCATGAAAAATTTATTAACATTTCTGTCATATGAAGCTCTAAAAATTAAAGGGTACATTTGAGATCATATAATAATAGTAATACAGAGTATGAACCAACAAGATGAGCCAAACCACAAAGTTAGAATTTCTCATCAATCACTAATGGAAAGTAAAATCCAAGAAATTGGGCTTGATTTAATTTAGATTATATCTAAAGGGTATTCATTCATTCATTCATTCATTCATTCATTCATTCATGGAATCCACAAAACTATGAACCCTCAAAAAAAATAAAAATTGAGATTTGAAGTAGAAAAAGATGAGATGGGAAGCAAAAAGCAAACCTGAGGAGGTCGGCTTCGTCGGAAGAAATGGAATAGTCGATGGTCCAAAGCCGCAAGTAGACGGCAATTCCTAGAAACATGACCAGAACCAAACCCACCAGTATTTTCTTGCTCCCTCCACCTCCGCCCCCCATTTTTTGTGCTCCCAACTCTCGGTCCTTCCTTACTCAAGCTTCTGTTACCTGTTCTACGGCAGGAATAAAATACCAAAAATCTCGAACCGAAAATCCTGAAAATTTCGGTACCCAATACCGAATTAATCCCGAAATTTTGGTACGGGAATCGGTCTCAAGTTTTCAGGATTTCGTAATTCCGAACCAAACCGAAAATTATATATATATTATTTAATTTTTAAATATATAATTAGAATTTTAATAGTCTTCGGATTCTGTTGAGATTTAATCTCAACCGTTGAATATAAATCAAACCTAGATTTTCTATTGATTCCTTCAAATTCTTGGAAGTTTGTTCCATTGAGAAGCGATGAATGCATGCCAATTTATGCTGAACATGAAAACATTAGATAATGCGAGAGTATGTTGAGCAGACTTTCGTCTTCTCTATTTCTAAACGTTTTCCACTTAACATCATTTTAGTAGCTTAAGCACATTTGATTGGGTTGAACAAATGAATTTAACACTTTAATGATATCGCATAATGAAATTGAAGGGGTCTTCTTCCCCTTAATTATCAAAATTGAATGTTCTTAATGATGCTTGAAACATAGATTAACAAGGTTGTTGTCTTTCCTGATGTGCAGTGCAGATTTGCACTACATATACATGATTTTCCATTGCACAGCCAAGTTATGCAGTGCAAATTTGCAATATATACATGATTTTCCACTACACAGCCACCGCCAAATTTTGATCACTGCACAGCCCAATATATATACATGATTTGCAAAATCTGCACACTACACAGTCACAGCCAAGTTATTATAGCCGAAAAGTTGAAAAGTCCAAAAATATTTTGAGATTCCAGAAAATTTGGTTTGGGATCGGTCTTGAAATTAGGAATCCTAAAAATTTCGGTTTGAAAATTGAGACTAAGGTTTCGGTTCGGTATCTCATACCGAACCACCCTAGTTCTACCAACCATCGAAGATAATCATGCGGGTCGGGTAAGATTCTGGCCCATTATCCCATACATTATTTTTCTCTTTTGGGCCAACTTTTATCAATTTGACCGTAGGGTTTTTTTATTTATTTTTAATTTTAAGCTAATGTTAGACAAATTAAATTGGGTAAATTACATAGTAGCCCATCATGTTTGAGCTCTATTGCAATCTCATACAACATCTTTAAAACATTTCACTTTCATACCTCAAGTACTATTTTATTTCAATTTCATACAACCGTTAGATTTTCCATCCATGGATCTGTTAAATGCTGACGTGACTGCTACATATATGACACGTGGCTGCCAAATGTCTGTCATGTGACAAATAAAATAATTTTAATTTTTTTTAAAAAACCTGAAATTGGAAGAAAAAAAAAAGGTCTGAACCCAGAAGAAGAAGAAAGAGAAAGAGAAGAAGAAGAAGAAAGAGGAGGGAGGAGAAAGAAGAAGAAGAAGAAGAAAAAAAAAGAAAAAAGAAAGGGGTCCGAACCCAGAAGAAGGAGGAAGAAGAAGAAAGAGGAGGAGGAGGAGGAGGAGGAAGAAGAAGAAGAAAAAGAAGAAAAAAAAACAAAAAAAAATAAAAAGGACCGAACCCAGAAAAAGGAGGAAGAAGAAAGAGGAGGAGGAGGGAGAAGAAGAAGAAAAAAAAAAGTCCGAACCCAGAAGAAGAAGAAAAAGAAAGAGAAGAAGAAGAAGAAAGAGAAAGAGAAGAAGAAGAAAGAGAAGAAAAAAAAAAAAAAGGACCAACCCAGAAGAAGAAGGAGGAAGAAGAAGAAGAGAAGAAGAAAGAGGAGGAGGAGGAGGAGGAGGAGGAAGAAGAAGAATAAGAAGAAAGAGAAAAAATAAAAATAAAAAGAAGAAAGGGACCGAACCCAGAAGAAGGAGGAAGAAGAAGAAGAGAAGAAGAAAGAGGAGGAGGAGGGAGAAGAAGAAGAAGAAGAAGAGAAAAAAAAAAAAAAAAAAGGTCCGAACCCAGAAGAAGAAGAAAGAGAGAAGAAGAAGAAAGAGAGAGAGAAAAAAAAAAGTGGCAGATATGTTTTTTTTTTTTTAAATTAAAAAATTATTTTATTTGCCACGTGGCAGATATTTGGCAGCCACGTGTCATATATGTGGCAGCCACGTCAGCATTTAACAGATCCATGGATGGAAAATCTAACGGTTGTATGAAATTGAAATAAAATAGTACTTGAGGTATGAAAGTGAAATGTTATAAAGATATTGTATGAGATTGCAATAGAGCTCAAACATGAGGAGCTACTATGTAATTTACCCAATTAAATTTGTGCTAGACAGACTAAATTTGAAAAATTAAATGATCCGTCATGAATAAAAAATAAGTACTTTAATTAATACTTAATTACTAATCCACTCATCAATTTTTTTTCTTTTAGTCTATAAATTTTATCTTTCTAGCATTACGATTAATTTTTTTTATTCGCAATGGTAGTGAGGTACAAAACTGAAAGGCCGTCTTTTTTCTCTCTCTCACTCACTCGTTGTTTCCATTTTTTCTTTTAGATGTGTTTGGCCCATAAAATTATTTAGAGAGGGCCCAAAATTAATTGATGGATTTAATACCCTTAGAAAATTATGGATGGATTTACACCAAAATGAGTTTCAAACAAATTGAAAGCAGGTATGATGGTGGGAGGATGGCGGGCCTGCCTTTGTCTTATATGTTTTTCTTTCTTAGGTCTCGTTTAGAAATGTGTTTAAAATAATTGGAAATGTTTTTTGTGAAAATATTTTTGAAACTAATTATTAGTAAAAATCCAAATAGATCCTTGAAAAACACTTTATATGAAATGCAAGAAGCACATATCTTGTTTTTTTTTTTTCAAAAGTACTTAAGGTATTTTGGAACCCAAAATCAATTTCATCAAAAGTGTTTTATTTTAAAAACACTTTCAAACGACCCCTTTGTTTGCGACCGGTGTCGAATTTGAATAGGGACAAAATTGAAAATTAAGATGTCAAAAAATATTTTTGGGTGATCTCATAAAGGTGTGGAGTTTAAAGGGTTAATTACACTAACTCCCCTGAGGTTTATCTTATTTTCACAAAAACCCCTCACATTTGAATCATTATACTAATACCCCTGAAGTTCTAATTCACTTTCACATAACTCCTCTAGGGTTAACATCACCTTAAAATAATTTCTTAAAGACAAATTTGCCCTCAAAATTAATAATGAAGGCAAATTTGTCTTTAAAAAAAATATTTTAAGGTGATGTTAGCCCTAGAGGGGTTATGTGAAAGTGAATTAGAACCTCATGAGGCGTTAGTGTAATGTTCCAAACGTGAGGGAGTTTTTGTGAAAACAAAATAAATCTCAGAGAGAATTAGTGTAATTAACTCAGAGTTTAAATATGAAAAAACTCTAATAACAAGGTTTTATTTTTGTGTAGGCTACTCGGTACTAAAACTTTTCTATAATATGTATACTATTAAACTCATGTATATATCGCTATGCTAACTATGGATGCAAATTTTCGCCTTCTTCTTCTTGGATGAAAATGCACTTACAAAACAATTAGCACCTAAGGTCAAGGCCAAAAGCTTTACGGGCCCACGATGAATGGGGGGGCTTTGGCCGAAGAACCTCCTATGCCAAAATTAAGATTTGAGAGAGAAAATGTTTAGAGAATTTTAGGAGAAGAATGGACTTAGGTTTTTTGAGAAATGAGGAGGTATATATAGGGGTGTGGTAGGCCATATTTGGAGAAATAGGGATCAGCCACTTATGGTGGTGATTTGGATGTAATTGTAATCAATTAGGCAATTAATCAATTAATTGGGTAATTAATCAATTAATTGGGTAATTAATCAATTAATTGGGTAATTAATCAATTAATTGGGTAATCAATCCTAATTTAAAAAGAATAATGTGGGGGTTACCTTTTAAGCAGGATTTGATGAGGATTGATGAAAAATGTTTTGAATAAATACCATATAGGTCACCTTTGACCTTGATTGAGCCGTTATGTTCGCTGATGGCGCGTGAGAATCCTGGTGTGCCTCGAGGATAATTTTGTCATTTTCACCTAAAAGTTCACGTGTCACCTTCATAATTTTCTTGATTATTTTTTGCTCCACACTAACTTCTCATGTGTCGAACTCCACATGTTTGTCTTTCTTCACCACGTTGTACGTAAATCTCTTTCTTTTCAACCAAAGTTACTTTGCTCGTGACGAGAAAAAAAGACACATGAAAGTATACATCACATTACATCATACAATGGGAGAGAGAAACACGTAAGTGTATACACTCAGTTGGTCGTCCTCGTATGTATACACTCATAAGGTTTGATTTTGTCATCCTCATATGTATTTCTTTATTTGTTTTAATAAGAATAGTGGATCAGTAGGCTCCAGCCGAGGAATTAATATTGCCTCATCTTCTTCTATTAAAATGTATATAAACACAACGTTTCATGTAATTACCCTCCTAAACCCAACCCAAGTTGTTTCTCTCTTGTTCGTATAAATTACAAAAAAGTTGCTTTTTTTTGTTCACCATGGTATTTGCCATGCTAATTACCCATCAGGAAAAGTAGAAGAGTGAAAGCAACAATCTAACGTGAGGCATTTTGCTCTGGCCATGTTTTGGATCCGTCGTTTTTACGCAAGCAAAATGATGAGAGGGGAAAATAACAAGTGGAAATCGGAAAAAACAAAGGGCGGTGAAAAAGAAACCAAGCAGCGCCCTTGGTTTTGCTGATTTATTGTTAAGCTTTAGTACTAAATTCATTAATTGTTGTTCTTTGGATAATATATCAATTATAAACCCGTTCCCGTTAAAGTTTAATTAACTTATTCTTGTGGCATTTTATTTTTTGGGTCCAATGTTGCTTATAGTTTTGGGTTTAAGATAGATAATTATTTGGTCAATGATGATTTGGACATGCTGCTGGTTATTTGATCAAGGATGAATTTGGACATGCTGCTGCTTATCGTTTTCTAATATATATTTTTGAAGAAGTGTGCTCTGATAGCCACTCGTTTGATGTAATAGTTTTAAAAATACTTTTTTTTTTGTTAAACAAATGATATTATTTATATTAAGAGGAGGGGATGGCTTAGCCTCACAATAAGCTAGCAATAATGTAGTTCAAATTCGCCTTTGGCGAGAATCGGATCTACGACCT